TACTACCATTACTACTACTACTACGACGACGACAACGACGACTACTACTACTATTATTTTTTCTATTATTACTACCACTACTACTGCTATTACTGCTACTACTGCTACTACTACTACTACTACTACTAGTTCTGCTACTGCTACTACTACTACTACTACTACTGCTACTACTACTACTACTACTACTACTGCGGCTCCTACTACTGGTACTGCTACTGTTGTCAACATGGCGCTCGAAAAGCGCGAAAGTCCACCGAAGCTGAAGCACGAATCTGATTTTCAGCTGGTTGTTTTGTCTTCACTGCCGAGGATGCAGTACAACTTTCAGTGGGTGAAGGCCCGTGCGAGTACATCTCTCATCAAAAAGAAATAACATGTGCAGGCAATGTGTTGCAAGTTTCTCGCAGGAGTTGCAAATTCGAGAGGCCACTTACAAGCAGGATGCTTATTCCGACTATGGGGGGGGCGGCAGAGATCTGCACAGCGTGCAGTCAGAGTTTGCCACCGAGGTTTGTCACTTGTTCCGAGATTTGGGCGTTGTTCATGTCAGATGACATGCTTTACAGCTTCTTGGTTGGCAAGTGGCAAGTGGTGCAAACAGTGTTCGGCACGTGTGGTGGTAAACCTGACGTATCCTGAAGTGTAAAACTGCCAGGCGAGCCCAGAAACGGAACAGAGACTTCAGAAGAAAAGGCGAAGCGAGAGGATGCCAAGATGGGACCTCAGCATTGTCAGGTGTTTCGGCGGCAGCTACAGCAAGACGAACCGTGATAGATTTTGTCTCAGGGAGTGGGCCAACAGGCTCAAGTTTGTAAAGGAAAAGAAAAAGAAGGTGGAGCATCGGATTCTGCATGCGTGTGCTTCTGCACGTTCGGCAAGTCGCTACTTGCCGAGGTTGTTATGACTTGGCTTGAGTATGGAATCTCTGGAGTGGCTGTCAACCTACTTCAACCCAAACAGAAGCAAGTCATGTTGCCACTGGCTCTCCACATGAGCAACTGGTGATGCAAAGCAAAACAAGAAACATGATCTGAACCGCCCGCAGGAACGAGAGATCGCGCAGGAGCAGCAGCAGAAGGCGAAGGAAAAGAAGGCCCCACGAGAGCACTCGCACCGCATGCGAAAGCTTTGACTATCTTATTTTGGGAGCTCGTGCTAGCAGAGCAGGTTTGCAAGTATTGCGTCCAGCTTCAGGTGGAACTTTCAGCTTAATTTTGGCCGCCGATGGCCCAAGTTGAAAGTCCAGCACCCTTAAAATTTAGATGTTTGAGCTCTCTTGGCAGCTGCCCAATTATGTCGCACTTGGTGGCATGGCCAGGCTTCATTACAACAGGGGCTCCGCCCAGAAGCAAACCGGACGCCGAAAGGGCGCCTGAAGCCCGACGCGGCCCTTGTGCCGCCATGACATTGAAGGGCCACAGTCTCGCAGCCCCAAGCAGCTGAAAAGAAGTTGCTCATGATGCTGGCTTCAAGGGCTTTTATGGCGTTCCACTGGGCGGAGAGGGCAGGACCCAGGAGTAGGGGTGAGAGCGCAGAACACAGAGGAGGGCAGAGGGGAAGAAGAGATCGATGAATGCTACTTCCGATTGTAGTCATTCTAGTCTAGCATTCTAACCTTCACGGTGCTGGACTGCTAGCTGCTATTCGCAATCGCATGCATGGCTTTGTTTTTGTTTGGGGCATCGCTGCGTGTCTTGATTGTTTCGTCATTTTTTCCAGGCTCAGTCGCACAACCTGTGAGTACAATGTCGCTTGTCAGCTTGCTGGCGATTTCGTCACGGGCCAGACGGTCGTGGCTACCCACGATATCTCCGTGCCCTCAGCCAGCGGATGGAACGCGCTGTGGAAATCTCGTGCATCATACGAATTCCGTGCAAAAGGTACGTGGCAAGATCGCTGTGAAGAAGGGTTGGGAGGGTGTGGTGCTGTGAGCTCAGAGAATTCGGGACAACTGCGGGCAGTGCAAGCTGCGAAGTAAGCAGTGCGTGTAGGAAGCCTACCATCGAGGCAAGGACCTTCGCTGAATCATCCTCAAGAACGGCTTAATGTCCTTTTTAAGGCATCGAGCTCTCGCAAGCGTCTTCGATTGAGTCATTTAGGCTTTGGCACGATCAAAGTCCTGATCTAGCCCCCAACCAGGAGAGGCGTGACAAGAAGCCGCAGCCTCAGCCAGCAAAGCAATCGAAAGCCGGTTCACACTGCCCTGCAAATGCTATTGTGCTTTGATTGAACCCACGGCTCGTGACGGGTTACCACTCATTTCTCTTCCTAGACAGGCTTGTCATACGGTAGGGTACGGTAGGACCGGTTGTAATGGACAGATGTTTCTCTGAGGCCTCATCTGCAGCCTGTGGCAGACCTTACTTAAATTGGACAATAGCTCCTTCACGATTCGGTCAAGCTCTCAAAAAACAACCCCATCTACTCAAAAACAGCAGCCTGAACTGTGTAGCAGATCTATAAGAACTCGACACAGGATTGTCTTCAAATGTTTCCTCTCGCTGTGGAGGGTCTCAGGCTTTTGGATGCATCTTGTCTTGTGTGCCTGGGTGAAGGTCTTATCAAGACTTTGTGGCGCGTGTGCCCTCACATGCAACCTTCAATCCCCATCAGCCCCCGTGCTGGTGCTATCAAGCTCTCATAGACATGCGCAAACTCCGGCCAGTTCTGTCGCAGGACCTTGTCCATCAACGTGCTCCCCTTCGAGGCACAAAATCCCGCTGTATCTGTGCTTAGATACGGGAACTTACAAGCTTTTTGCAGGTGCGGCATCCCAAAGACGCGGATGATTGAACATGCCGAAAAAGCCTTGCGTTTCTCCACCACCGGGCATCGTAGATTGAATATCAGTTTAGCCAAGATGCAAGGCACCGGACGGGTGCTTGGCGAGTCGTGCGCTCGACTGAACGGATCTGACCATGTCGAATTAAATCCCTTCATATCTTGACCATGTCGGCGAAATTTTCGATTTATTCTCTTTTCGCCTCAGTAACACATCGACTCCTGCCGTGGCGCCTGTTCGATCGAACTCAAGGTTTCCCTTTGTTTTGCGAGGGATCCAGAGCGTCCTTCATTGCGACCGTGCCGGATTCGATGAAATTACTGCGAAGATTGCTCGTTCGAGATTGTCATGAAGCACCCTAGCATCGTCAGGTAGTCGACGGGGTAGCTCCACGAAGGCAAAAGAGGGAATGATCAGTCATTCACCTGTCCACACGGCGCGGCGACAGCAGCACAGAGCACACGGCGGTGCAACCGGCTAAGAAAACCCAACCCTAAGAATCGCAACAGAAGCGCCGAGGGAGGCTGCAACTCAGCGTGCCAGCGGCGGACACAGGCCAAGTTCTTACCCTTATAAGACCTCGTCGCCAAGTCGAGCGATCAGGAGGCCGAAGGGCAAGGTGCGACTCCGCGAGTTTCACGAGGCGGGTCGGGCCGGGTCGGGTCGGCGAGTGTGCAATGCATCGTGTCGGGGCTATCGACATTCAGCACGCGCCTCCGGTTTTTGATCGCATGCCGCATGCCCGAAGTAGATGGAGCAATTCCCCCAACACCAACCGCAGCCTGTGTGGAGCCCAACTGTGTTCGCCATCAGAACCATAGAGGACTTCAGTTCCCAATCGCGGGCACCTTTACCCGCCGCGATATCTTGGCTGAACTGGGCATTCGCCACGTGAAGTTTGGGCCTGAGTCGAAAGGTGCCAGGACTGCACAGCCCCACGTTATGGCTGCGGCCGCCGATGGTACCCCGCCTTGTTCGGCCTGCATGTCCTCTGGGCGGCTTACGTGGAGGATCTACAATCATTGATTGCTCGGCGACCTGCTGTGATGAGTGCAAGATGGAACGCAGGCTGACCCGGCACTTTTTGACCGTGGTGACGGGTCCTTCGGCTGGCCGGAGCGCCAGTCGTGTTTTGTTTGGTGTTTTGTTTGGCGGGAGTGGCCTGCCGAGTCGGGTCTGGCCCTCTCTCTCTCTGTCTCCTGCACTTCTTTTTCAGGTCATTCGGACAAACGGGTCCTCGACGTGGTTGGCTGTCGGCTTAGGCCTATGCTAGCGGCAGCAATGGTGGCGGGGCCCGAGCAAGCCTCATTTTCCTCGGGCCTGTTCGGCGAGAACACCTCTGCATATGTGCGTGTCGGGGCATGGCGCAAAGCCTTTGAGCTTCTGGATGACAGCGACTTCGCCTACGTCTCTGGGATCTATGACGAGGCAGCGCCACGCGGCGGTGGCCTCATCTTGGCAGTCGATCTGCAGCACGGTCGACGAGAGGACAACCTTGGCTTTTGCGCATGAGGCAGCGAAGGCTGGTGTCCCAGAGCACCGGCGACTGACCTGGCTGAGCTTTGGATTTGATGTCAACGTGTATAGCGACCAGCCGGCGAGTCGAACGCCATTGAACGCTGGGTGCCAGGCTGCGTGGGATTTGGCGGTCAGGGTCTGTGAGTCTGCGGAGGCCGCCGCAGTCAACGGAACAATCACCCACCACGCAGCAGCGTGAATTGCAGCACTTCCAAATTGCCAGGGGACGCGATGGGCTCGAGGAGGTGGACTGGTGGACGGTGTGGACCTCCAGTCTTTTTGTTGATGTGAAACCGCTGAGCTTACATCCGCGAGAGCAGCTGGGTAGTCGGGCCCGACATGCTATCCATGGCACCATACATGCAGCGCGAAGGCGAACCCTCGTTTCACAGCACAACACCAAGATCGCGAGTCTCCTGGCTCCACTCATGGATCGCGTCCACCACAGTGATTCTGGAGCCATGGGGCAACACCGAGTGATTTGGCTCACCGGTGTCCGGAAACACAAACGCTCTGGAGTTTTTTGGGGCCAAGCCCAGGCTACTCAAACAGGTGTCCCAAAGCTCCCTGCTCAAACTGGAACTTGCCCATCTCGGTGGCCGGGTGAGGCCATCCCGTAGACGCCATGGCTCATGAACCGACCTGGATGCCTGCGGGCCCGAGTCTCCGTTCTTCTTGAAATTGCAGGGCGAGAACATCGCCGCTGGTGGGCCACCGATGATGTGCTTAATGCATCCCACCCCTGCAATTAGCGCATCGAAGAGCTTTCGTCATGGAGGTTCCAGCCCTTCTGCAGGTCTACTTCCGATGTAGCGGATCATTTTTGACACTCTTCCCCGAGAACATGTGGACCATCCATTCCCTTGCTTTGTGTGGCTGATTGGGAACTTCTTTATCCACACCCAGGCCTCTCGGTCATCCTTGGGCATCTCATCTCCACCATCGTCTCCATCTGGTCCTTCATTGGCACGTGGTTCATACAGGGCGCCGCCAAGACAGCCTTCATGCCGTCTGCGAGCTCACCGCTCTTGATAGAGCGAGAACCTCAAGCATGCTGCGAGTACTTGCTGCCACCAGCTCTCACTTTACATCATCAGGTGCCGCCGCGAGTAGAATCCTCGTCTGTCCAGCCTGTTCCATTTCACATCAGCCAGCTCGGCTAAAGTGAACCCGACGGCTTCATAGACAACTTCGCGAATTGATCCGCAGACTGTGTTTCTCATTTACCTCCTGGGCATCTCGGGTCACAACACGCCACCACTCCGCACTCAAAGCCGTGAGGTCACTCATGACGGGTTCCAGGAAGTAAAACCAGTCCCCAAAATCCACTGAGCATGACTCCGACAGCTCTGGCAATTTTGGTGCCTCTGCGGTTTTGCTCAACTCTTCCGGCTGTCCGCTCTTTATCACCTTCTCCACACCCTCAAGCAAGCGTGCCATTGGATCCGTCGTCCCTGCCGTAGGTATTGCAGGGCTCAACACTGTCGTTGCCCCCGAGGTAATGGTAGGGGCACAGAAGCACTTGCTGGTACCCCAGATGCGGAGGCCATAGGTATTGTTGCATAAACACCCAATGATGTCGAGGACAGAGGCAAAGCTGCAGGTACGTGCGATGCCGAGGACAAGGGCAAGGCTGCTTGTGCACCAGATGCCGAGGACGAAGGCAAAGCCGGTTGTACGCCCGACGCTGAAGAATCCGGACAAAAGGCAAAGCTGCTTGAACGCCCGATGCCGATGGCATAGGCAAGGCTTCTTGTACACCAGACGCCGATGGCAAAGGCCATGCTGGTTGTACGCCCGACGCAGATGGCCAAGGCCAGGCTGGTTGCACACCCCATACCGAAGACAAAGACATCGCCCGACCCAAAGCCACTGGACGTCCTGTCCTGCTGGTGGAGGGTTCCACCTCCCGGGGTCAGTCTCAGGAGACCCTATGACCCGTCTCGCAGTTTGCTGACTCCCCATCTCATGGAAGAAAGCCCGCACCTCTGTATCCATGCTGGCGCCGTCCTCCTGGCAGACATCATACTCCACGATGCTTGCGCAGCATTCATCTGGTCAAAGGATTGCCCACTCCCATCCATCAACTGACCTTGGGGCGCTTCCAACTCCCCTTGAAGACTGCCGTCCGCAGAATCCTGACCTGTAGCCATTGCCACTGTCATCGTTCTCACGGTGACACTTTGTTCTGCTTCCCGGTTATCTTGAGCGTTGATCTGCACATCTGGCACGGCAGTTGCGCTCGCGGTATTTGATTGTGCTCATCATACCCTGTTGATGCGCGACCGGCGGGTTTACATCCGGGACAGCAGCTGAGCAGTCAGGCCCGACACACTATCCATAGCGCCATACATGCAGCGCGAAGGCGAACCCTCTTGTCACAGCGCAATACCAAGATCACGAGTCTCCTAGCTCACATTTGTGTACAAAGTTCTGAGCATGCTAGAAGATCTGTGAACGACTCAGGGGGCACCTACGTAGCCCACCCTTGATATTGAAACAGCGGACATCATGCGTTCCAAGTTCCAAGCTCGATTTAGAACTCTATACAAGACATCGCATTCACGAAACTCAAGAGCTCACTTCTAACGTCACACATCCTGCTTCACGCAGGCTTTCTGACGCATCAACAGTTTTGTTTTCCAGGGCAGGCCTCACGTGGGCGGTCAAGCAGGCCGAGCTCCCGTGGCGTGCACCGGAAGCTGCGAGGTCGCAGTGTGCAGTCGGCGATCGCAGGTGGACAGCGTTGCCTGGCCAGTGGAGATGCAAACAAAAGCCTCAGCTTGCATGCGATATGTCCACCTGACTCGCAGCGATGTACTTGGCATCGCGGGTCGACCGTGCATGCTTCTGCCGCAAGGGCAAGCAGAAGAGGAATTGCGCGGGCTTTACTTCGCCATTGCTTCGGCATTCACGTCAGGATGGGGCTGGACTCTGTGGTGCCAGGCCTTCGACTCGCAGAGGCGAGGAAGGCCACCTGCGGTCTGCGCTTCCATAGCAAGCGTTGCGCCTTGGTCGCTGCCGGAGTCGACTCGCGGTTCAGGTGGCCTTTACCGATATGGTTGATGACCCGGACAAGCTTACCTCCTATACTTGGAGGCGCTTTAGCCCGTCCGTGGGCATGTCCCAGTTGACCTGTCGGCGCTGTCTGATTGGCAAGACAAGCCGATCCCAGTCCTCAGATGCCTATCCACTACAGTGACCTGGTCTGGGCCTTTATGGGTGCACTGCGTGCTTATCCCACTTAAGACTCGGTGAATCCTTACCATGGCACAGAGTTTGTGCGACGTTTCAGGTGAAAGCTGACATGGAGAAGCTTCAACTTCCATGTTCCCAGGAAGTTCACCATGAGGCTCGCAGCCGCCTTTGCGACGAAGGCCAAGCGCAAGGCCGTTCTCGCCTTGTTGGAGACCAGGCCCCAGGCGAAGTACCTTGTTTTCGGCGGCTGAGATCGTGATGCCGGAATATTATCAGCCACTGCCTGGCAGAGCCAGGTTCCTGTTGTGAAGAGCTATGTCATTCCTGCTGCTCCTGACCGGCAGTGCGCAAGTGACCGCCTCTGCAAGATGAAGAGCTGAGGCTGGTGCCGTCAGCATCTTGGGAAGATCGGTCCCGGCACTCAGCCAAAGCGGTCCCGAAGGCCTGGTGGTATCGCAGCCAGGTTGGCGGTGACGCCGCGGCTTTCCCAAAAACCAACCCCATTCACAGCGTGCCGCAAAGACCAGCCGGCCGGAGTCAAGAGCCCTTATGTACATTGCCTCTTCACCACTCCCAGACCGAATAAGACTGTCTGTTGTAAACCCCGGCTCTTGCATTCACAAATTCGAAAACAATGCATCTTGGTGTACTTCTTCCCGCACATGCATTCAATTGATGGTATCTTCTCATGCAGCTCCAAAATTTGCACTGAAAGTGTGTTCTGTCACCTGTCCCCGCTGGTCCCGCTGTTGCACGTCACACTGAGCCTGTCAGTCGGCTCAATAAGAGCATACTGACAGACCCTTTGTCCTCACCCAGGGGCAGCTTTGACTGCATTTCTCCCTTGCTTGACAGAATTCATGAATTCATGATTTCGAGCTCCATGCAGAACTGTTTGGCACGGCAAGTCCACCTCGGGCTGTTTGTCAGTGAATTCATGAATTCTCTCTCTCCTGTATGGTCTTCGCGCATGCAGGTCGTATCGGTCTGATGTACACCCTCATATCAAGCAGCTCTCGTCGTCTTTGAGAGTGGCCGTCTTCTCAGGCAGTAAAAGCGTCCCTGCACCAGCCATGCAGATCCATTGTAACAGAGCGAGTCATATGCCAGAAACTCTAATTGCTCCTCCAGAATTACCAGCAATGAAGCATGTCGCACCAGAGGCTCAGATTGGTCAGCCGTGTCAGCGTTAGTGCGAGCCATGTTTGCGAGCGCAGGTTAGTGGTATCTATAACCCAAGGGTTAGGGTGCCTAAAGACCCCGAAGTACCCCAGAGGAAGGGAGACGACATACGACATTATGGCCAGCACTCCCTGTATGATGTTCCGAGCGGGGCCGACCAGAGGGGAAGGGGAGAGGAGGGTTTGCGGAAGGGCGATGCCCGTACCCCGTCCATGTACGTTGTCGATCTGATGTCCTGTGTCGGGAGCTGAGGGATGTAGGGATCGAGGAAACGTTCGGCTCGGGGAGAGGAAAGAGGGGTGGGGCGGCCGGGGTGCTTGAAGCTAGATCGAGGAAGTAGGGGGCGGGGCAGAGACAGGGGTGTTCCATTTGCTTCGGACAAGAACGAATTGTAGGTGGACTCAAGTAAGGAGACATACAAAAAGGGACGCAACGCTTTCGCTTCGCTTGGGGTGTAACGAGGGGAGTAAACAGGAACGAACGGTGGGTACTCACATAGGGGTACCGTACTTGCACAGGACGAAACGCTTGGCTTGGGCCCCTCAGCACCGACAGCTGCACACTCATATGCTGCGACGATCAGATGTCGGGCGAGGCCGTGCGTCCATGTCACGGGACCATACAGGACTCTGCCATGCAATTGTGGAGTATTTCATGCAAAGTTGTATGCACATGCTGTACCAATTCGTCATGCCGTGTAAATTCGACATGCAAAGGAATACTCATGCATCTGGCATGCATTAAATTCACATGCAGGCCTCGGCGACTGTCAGTCTGGCCCCTGTGCAAAAACTTTCCGCCTACAGGCGACGAGCGGCACGGGGGGGCGCTTCTTTCAGAGTGCGCCGCCCAAAAGCTGGGACAACATTGCTCGTGGAATACATATGACCCGGCAGTCCTGAAGCGTGAGAGGCGTCAGAACAGGTCGCCCCGCTGGCGGCATCGGCAGCTGTTCATCAAGGTTGAGCATAGTGGGCCTGTTGGGCCAACCGGAGCAGCATGCGGAGGCGGTTGCCAGGTGCCATGTGGGGGCGAAGGTTGTTCCTAGCGCTCCTGCCGTGACTTGTCGTCCCTTTGAGGTCCTCCACGTACCCTTTGACGTCCAGCACCAACTGTTGGGTGTCGTTGAGGGTGTCCCGGAGGATGCAGAGCCTATCTGGCAAATGATCTGTTCCCCCCTGAAGGGTTTCAAGTTGGCTCTGCTGCTAACGAACCAGGTCCCTGGTCTCCTTGCACACCTTCTGCATGTTGTCGTAGTTCTTGGCCATCTCCTTGAGGATCTCCTGGAATTTGTCCCCCATGGCCGAGCCGAAAAGGGACTGGTTCTTCTTAAGGACATTGAAGTCGCTCTGGATTGTCGTCGTGCACGTCACAAGTGATGCCTCTGTGTCAGACTTGAGCTTCTCAAAGGCCTTCTTCAAAAAGGCATCCAGCTTCTTGACGAGGTCCTCGTTCTGTGCCAGCCCAGTCTTCTCAAAGAACTCCTGCAGGTCTTTCTTCAAGGTCTGCAGGTAGTCCTCGATCGATTGTGTCCATCCCCTCTTTATGAAAGGTAGCCGCTGTTTTCGCCAGTCCAGAGTGGATGGTCTCGAGCCTCTGGACGATCTTCTCCAGTGCATTCGAATTCGACACCGCCTTGTTCACCACAGCTTGAATTCGAGCTTGCACATCCTCGAAGAGCATGCCCTGTCGCGTCATTGCCCCTTCTTCTGTCACAAGGGACTGGAGCTCCAGAAGCATTTTTCTTAGCCCACGAACCAGGTCCAGCATCGGCTCTGCTTGGGCTTCCCCACTCTCTGCCGCGTTGTCGGCAGGGTCGTTGGTTGTCGCGAGCAGTTGCAGCCGCTGAAGGCGTCGACCGCGCCCCCAGTACATGAACAGCATCAGCGCGAAACACACCAAGGAGACCCCAAGCTTGAGTTTCCACGTCCACGTCATGAGTCCTGCTGCCACCTCGAGCCAAGCCAGCGCTTGTCCTGTCCCAGTAGCAGAGACGGCCATGGCTTGTGGGCGACGTAAGCTAGCAGTGAGGCTTGTGGCACACACAGCTTCGGGCTTTCGGCCATCAGGCTCCTGCTTCAAGCACGAGAGTCAATGTTCCGCACATGTTTGCAGCAATATGTCAGTGATTGTCAACGATTCCAAGCCGTCACAACCCCAGGGTGCATTAAACACAGGCCCGTTGGAACTCGAAAAGAAGCACCTCAAGACGCCCCCGCATTAAGGTCCCAGCCTAAAAAACCAGACCAAGACCGAAACCGCCGGACCCCAGACCCTATTCCCTCCAACTGGAAAATTAGGGCAGGCAACCCCATTGAGAACAACGCATGCTTGCTGAGTTCGGGTAGCAAGAACAAATTCAGAGAGCTAGCTGCTAGCTTCGATGAAGGATACGGGCCATAGGGTGACGGGTTTATGGGTCTAGAGCAAAGGGAGGAAGCAGAGTTTCGGCTTGGGGAATCTGCTCCAAGCACACCAAAGCGCCCAATCCCCCGAGCCTGCAGCATCAAACTTGTTTAGAGAAACATGCGAAGTGGGCTATGCCAGTCATGCACTGCAGTATGTAAATTCAATATGCACCACAGGCTTGCATCATGCAGAACATACACTCATGCAAAAACAGTGTCAGGCAAAACGGTGCTGTAAATGCGGCAAATTCTACATCGTGCCCCGGTTCATCCTGGGACTCTGAGAGCCGCGTCTACACATGCCTGTTCCCCGGCCTACCGGGTGCATTCAGATCAGATGCAGCTGGGTCCCGTCAGGGATGGCAAGTCGAACTACCGGCAGCGGCTCCTCTGGGAGCCCTCTCCAGCCTAGCCAGTCTGTCCTCCATAGCTTGCAACTGATTCAGGACTGCTTGCAATTGTGCTCGCAAGAAGGACAGGTGCGAGATCTCTGCCACGTCAGCTCTGCGGGAGTGCAACTTTCGTACAATGTCATACGTGTTGTCAATCACCCCCACTCTCTGCCTCAACTCCAAGCCGTGATACAGACTGTCCAGCGCATCTGCCGACCTGCGTTTTAACAGCTGCTTCCCCACGCAGTTCATGCAGCGAGGTTCCCAGCTGTGGTATGGTCGCCATAGCCCCTGCAAGGAATTCAAGTTGAATTCTGGCATCATGCAGATCTCGCTGTGCTTTACGGAAAAGAATGGTGCCGAACAGCAGTACCCCGAAGGACGCCGCCAGCAGAAACCAAAATATCACGCCTGGCTTGTCCTAGTTGTGAGTGCTGAAAGACCAGCCGGACCCCCGCCACGACGGGATCCTATACGGCCGGTTGCGGGTATCCACGCGGCCCTCGACAAGATGGCAGGCAAGCGTCCGGCACATTGTTTGGGAATCTCCAGCGGGTGAAAAGTTATTCTTGTCAGGCACAGTGCGCAAGCAGGGTGGGGCGTGTCGACGCCTGAGTCAGCCAGCAAGTTATAGAGGCCATCGGATGTGGGCGACCCATCTGTCCTTCGGCAAGCTCTCAGCCAAGTCTTTCCCGGAGTGAAAGCCCTGACTCGGAAGGTGAGGACAGGGAGTCTGATGATCCCACGTTTCAATTAGCAACAAAATTCTGCAGGCTGACATGCTGCGGTCCTTCAAAGCGAACGACTTGACAGCAGTGCACGCCGAAGCAAGAAACCGGGGTTGACACGGAGAGCTTGCTGTGGCGCGCTAGATTCTGCTGCCCCCTCTCCTCGACTCTACTCTTGTCGTCTTTTGCTCGAAAGCGTTGCTCTACCTCAGGGACGACCGAGGAGTCGAGGAGAGGGGGGTTGTCCTCCAGCTCCAGGATAGCCACATGGACCCGTAGGGAATATACCCTGCAGCCAAGAGCATTGCATCAGCGATAATGCCGAGGCGACCAGGACCTTAATATTATTATTATTACATTGGAACAGAAGCTCATTGATGAGACGGGGATTTCTCACCTTGAGGAGTTTGGGTTTCTCTTCGACGATGAGGCCGGCATTGGTGCTTGGGTCGGCAAGACGGGCTTGGGTGTCCGAACGATGATACAGACAGCACGCCTGGAAAGCCACTTGCACCTACTATTCCCGGACTCTGAGCTCAGGGGCCGTAAGGAGACTTTCAGGGCACGGTATAAGCTGAGGTTTCCAGCTGAGGTCCACGATGCAGTGGTGTCCAGGATCAGCCGAGCTTTCGAAGCGTACGCTGTCATCTTCGGTCTTTGGAAGTAGGTCACTGCAGTTTCAGCTGGGCACGTCCCAGTCTTGCTGATGGGTTGGTTGTACACGGAAGAGCCCGACACCGACGAAACTGTGATGATTGCTTACGCCCTCCATGGCACCCAGACCCTGGTTGTCATGGCTTCAACACCGAGACGCTGAGGAAACAGCTGAGTGGGTCTTGCGTTTCCGGGAAAGGGCCCGGACGCTGGTGGTGAACGAGGTCAGGTCATGGAGGCGCATGATGCACTGGTTCGTGGGGGAGGCAGGAGGTGCGTCGGTTCCACCAAGCCCACGTCAAGCTCTGTGAGGATTTCCAACGAGGCGCGTGAAGTGCCGAACCCTTGCCAAGCCCAGATCCAAGAGTCCTTAAGGGCCTCACCCGCTTGGAGTCGACCCAGGAAAAGTGATGCGTGTGACCGGGGCTTGACTGACATTGTTTAGGGCTCATGTGTCTTCATGGGAGCCCGCAGGCAGTCGTGTCGGTTAAGGCACAACACAGTCGAGATCGCCCAGTGGCCGCCCAACCGCTCCATCATACCCGTTCTCGGGACGAGTGGAAGCTGTATGCAACAAGTGGTGTCGAGTCTACCTTCATGTGGATGAGGCCGAGCATACGGCTGCTTCAGCAGCCTTTGCCTTAGCAGTCAGCAGGTGGGCAGCTCGGCTTGGTCAAGCTACGCTTCGGGAGCATTGGCTCACCATTGCGCCGCAAGCTCTGTGTAGCTTGGCAGTGGCGCCCACTGCCATTGTCCTGCTTGGGGTCCGGGCAGTGGAGGGCGTTCTAGGTGGTTCGTGACTGTACCGGGTTGGTAGGAGCTTGCTTACCTAGCATGCCTAGTTGAAGGTCGAACCGAATGTGTTACCAAAGCACTTCCTGTGAGTTCACACAGGTTCTACAGAAGGACCCATGGCCCGGCATTGCGAAAGGAAAAGTCGAGCCGAGCGAAGGCAGTAGCTTAAATTCATGCGATCTACAAATGAACAGTTGGTTTTCCGGAATGCCATCCAATACACTCCGAAGCAAATTCTACGTCCAGATGCTTGCATGCAGCGGCAAGAATTGTCAGGAGTAGAAATGTTTGCATGGCTGAAAATTTCATCATTGTAACATGTGGTCGAAGCTTTCGGTCTGTGCGTGAGTAGTTCGAGTAAGATCAACACGTCATGTCTACCGCTGCACTACCGCTGCAAGATGTGAAAGCCTGAGAGGCTGTACATGAATGCAGAGTGACAGCAGTTATACGATGATGCTCCGTCGGATTGCTTTACTTTGATCAGCGCTGTCATTTCGCCATGAAGCCCTCGGGACGAAGCTAGCGTAGGCTGTTGTATGTAGTCTTTTCTCTTCAACACCGCACCGATGCCGTGCAATGTTGAAAGCAGCATGGACGATGAGGCCTGCCAACGCGCTTTCACACGAGCATCAAATGTCGAGGTTAGCTTATTGGAGCGCCATGACAGTCCAGGTGTTACATGGTGAGATTGAGTTTGTTGTGCCTCTCTTGCTGCGCGGGCGGCGGAGTGAGCAACTTCACCGCAAGGTTTTGTTTATTCATTGTTGTTGCAAGCCGAAGTGAAAAACTTCCTATTGTTTTGTCTCTCCCTTTCTGTTTTTGTCTTCATGGTGGGTTGAGAGTTGTGATGCACGAGAGAAGATAAGGGTGTCGTGAGCCGAACTGACTTGGAAGTGAGAAGATGCAGAACGGGGTAGTCGCAAAACAGGAAGTCCGAAAGCTGATTCGAAGTGCAGAGAGTCTCCTGCCCTCACGCGAAGCGGCTGCATGAGCCGAAGTGAGACCGAAATGACTTGGCCCGGGAATCTAATTGTCGATCTTGAAAATCAGAAACAGATATTGCGGACAGGCAGCGTGCAGAGAGAAGTAATCCCAATGCGATCCAATGCATCGAACAAGCGCACGAAGAAGCAACGAACGCAAGAGCCCACAGCATGAAGCCTGTCCCGCTGATAAGCGTTGCAGTCTGACAGACCTCAAGCGATCAGATGACACACGTGAACTGAGGCAACGTTCAGTTTACGGACACTGATACTGGCGAGTATTCGTTGGCGGGCACGGTCTCTTGGGACCCACCTGCAGACATATCTTTAGTTGGGAGCTATACTGTGTGGCTGGCACACGACAACTCGCAGGACGTGAGTTGAATGGAGATCTCGCTTGAACCTGTGGCGGAGAGCCGTGGTTTCTCTTAAGTCTTAAGCTTCTTGTCAGGACAACTTTGCCCTGATCGAGTTTCTTGCATCGAAAGTTGTGGTGAACAGCTTATTGCCGGACCGGGAATTTGCAAAGCCTATGGCTACAGTATTCATGTCATATTGTCAGCTGCAGTGACGATCATAGTTCAGGCATTTCAGGCAATCCAGCGCATGTGACAGAGGCAGCTCGCGCATGTACGGACAAGTGCTCAAGGCAAAGTACGCGAGAAACAACATGCCCAAAGCTTCGGTTCCGCGCGTTTTGGGGGAAGGAATTGCCAGCGTGGGGCTTGAGCAAGAACCTACACAACCACGAAGCATGGGCCCAGCTAGTTGACGCTCGCCACCTTGGTCATGCGCAAAGTCAATATCAAGCCCCACCATCACTCATTAACCGGCGATGCGGACCTTCGTCCACAACCTCCTTGGGGTGGAGGTTCTTGCTATGGTGTGTTTCGCGCATTGGGCTCTTATTGGTCTTGCCGTGGTTGTGTTCTCGCTCGTCGGTCCGTCAGGGTCCTTCAGGACATCCGCACCTAATGCACCAGGGCAGCAGTGTCATTATGTTCCTTCCTTGGCCATGGCTCCGGTGTAAGCCTCAAC